TCCTCCCAAGGCCATTGAGACAGACACGGCGAGACAAATGTCACTGATTCTAGCAATTGTGATCACAGACCACTTAAAGCACCATCCACTTTCGTGTTTATAAATTCCTTTTCAAAGACAATCCTTGTGTGCCTATGGGAAGAACAGAAGAAAGGATCTTTATTTCTTGCTCTATAGCAAGCAAGAATTTGATTTCACTTTTTCTTTTTGGGGTTTTGGGGCCACACCCAGCAGTGCTCAGAGGTTACTTCTGGCTCTGCACTCAGGAATTACTCCTGGTGGGGCTCAGGGGACCTACCAGGTCGAACCCTGGTAGGCCACATGCAAGGCAAACGTGCTGCCTACCGGGAAAGCGGTCTCAGGGAGAGTACCCCCCTGGGGTGCAGAGGTGCCTTAGAAGGTGGGGTGACATACTAGGACCTCCACTATGGTCCATCACCCGGTCTCTCGATTCCGCTTTGTCTGGGTTCAAGATGTCCCCAAGCAGCCTAGGCAGGTACTCAGACGAAGAATACATGGAGGTAGGTGGAGAGATGCTCAGATCAGTTTCAGAAGGAAAGGAAGGAAAAGGAAGTGAAGGATAGAGCCACCCTAATGCCACTCCCCCCCCAAGCAAACAAAATAAACAAGATTTCCTTATAAAGCAGCCTATTTATGTTGGGAGTGTACTGTTTTGGGGTCCCACCCAGCTGTGCTCAGGGCATCCTCCTGGTAGTGCACTCAGGGATCACTCCGGGTGGGTCTCAGGGACCATATGAGGTGCTGGGAATCAAACCTGGGTCTGATGCCTGCAAGGCTAAACCTTCCCCTCGGTACAACTGCTCCTGCCCGATAAGCACCTTCCGGTGTGAGGGAAGGTTTGGGGAAGGGTGTCGGGGACGGGCAGAGCTGACTTCGGGCCCACAAGGGCTGCCCCAGGGAGAGAATTCTCCCAACACAGATGGTACTTTGGTCTACAATCGAGCTGAAGAAAAGCATCCATCTATTTCTGTGTCAGGTAGAACTTGGTGGGTCCTGTACAGACTATTAATTTCGTAGAAAATAAGCAACAAGGGAAACAGATAAATCATCAGCAGAGTGACGAGCCGGCCGATGAATTCCTACCAGTTCCCTGTTCTTTTTCTCGCAGAGAGCAACATGCCAACATCTTTATGTCCCACTGTCTTTGCTATCTGTTTATTTCATTAAAGGCAAAGTGCTTTTGAAACCACAGGACATGTCTTATTTCAAATTTCAAGAATTCAAATCCCAGATGATTTATACAAGTTCACACAACGCACACGGAATTGTAATCTTCACATTTCTGAAAGTCTATCTTTTTAATTTTATGAAAGCAAAAGAAGACCAGCATTAATTTTCCTTTTGTCTGTGGCAGGCGGGAGAGATCAGAATTTAAGGTCTAGAAACAAGGCACATATATTTGAAAAAATAATGCCCATTGCTTTTCATGAAAAATTTTAATTAAGCCATTTTAGAAATGGAAGTTAAGGCTGGTAGAACCGTCGAAACTTGCGATAAAACTTCAATGACTAATCCTCTCTAAAATTAATTTCTCCAAAGCTCTACATAATGTATTCACAAGTCTCCTCAATGTTTATTTATTGAAGTTGGTGTTTTCAGCCACTGTGAGCAGCGTTATATAATGGTCCTCTCCATCTGCTGGCCAGACTCACTGTTCATCTAGTAGTTGGGTACAAAGACCCAGCCTGGCTGCTTCTCGGTCATCTTTGCCCATCGGTGCTGCTTTCAGCCCAGGCCCCTCCTTGGGTACCAAGGGGCCTCCCTGAAAGTCATTCTCTCTCACCTCCCGCCCCCATCTCGGCCTTCCTGTAGCTGGGGTGGAGGAGGAGCACTCCAATCTGGGAGAAGCATCCTGACTCAGTCCAGTAGTATTTCCACCACACAAACAGCTGGCCACAAGAACATCCAGGAAGAAAAACAGACCACTGACCAAGCCCAAAGCAAAGAAGCACGGAGCTGGAGTCTTCCTCCAGACCCTGGGGCAGCATCCAGAGGCCTGGGCCTGGCGGGTAAGCCACTGAGATGCTGAGAACCTGCTCCCGCCAATGCCTCGGGGCCGCCTGTGTGAGCCCGGGGCTGGAGCAGGCCAATATGGACGTGTGGGGCTAGAGCGATAGCAGGGGGGTGGGGGTGGGGGGAGGGCATTGGCCTTGCACTTGGCTGAGCTGGACTCAGTCCCCTGCCTCCCATATGCTGCCCTGAGAACCACCAGGAGTAATTCCTGAGTGCAGAGCCAGGAGGAACCTCTGAGCATCACCAGGTGTGGCCTCCCCTCAAACAACAACAAAACCAAACAAACAAAACAACCAAATATGTCCCTGGTGACAGATTGAGCTGCCGGGAAAGGTTGTTCACTGCCAGGCTATGGCAGTCAGATGAGGGAGGGCCCCCGTGCTCTGGTCTTGGCTTTTAATGGTTTACCAAGGGCCGTGCCTCCATTCTTGTCAGAGGCCCCCATGGGGGTGTGGCCTAGTCCCTTCGGGTCCTCCTGGGCAAGCACCTTAAGGGGGGACTAAAACCTGAATCTGAGGCTGAGTCAAAACTGGACTCTTTTCCCGTATACTCATCCCACGGACACCTGCGCCTTTCTGCATCATGGGATTTCTTGTAAGCAGACGAACTCACGAGTTTAATTTCTCAGCGTCTCTCCCGTTGGCCACACGGATGTTCTGATGGCCCCCACAAGCTCAGGGACACTGGTGTGGCCTCCCTAGCAGGAACGGTGAACAGCGCCAAAGCGAGCGCGTCTTCCTTCTGACCCCGCGATGCTCTCTGCTCGGAACACTCCGGCAGCGCCCTCAGAATCCACAGGCTGCCAGGCTGACCTCTTTTTCTCTTCAAGCTCACGAAATCTGCCAGACAGTTCTCGCTCCCTTCCTGCCCCAACTTTCCCCATCTGAGCTGACTTTTCCTCGACTCTAGAACTACAAAGTCAGAGTGTCAGGATTCATAAAGCAGCTCAGAGAAAATTCGGGAAAGAGGAACACGGCACCCCAACTGTCTACACTTTTTAATTAGAGGTCTTGATTCCTAGTTGTAGATGGGTCGCTTGTGAAGCTGAGACCACAACCACCAATCTCAGAGGCCAAAAAAAAAAAAAAAGGCGTAATGTTTACCCCAGACAACACTAGACTCAGCTCAGACGGTCCACGGAATCTTGGACAGTTTAGAACTGTTCATTGGGCCCATTCACTACTCGGGACAGGAATTCCCAGAAAATCAATGCCAAGGTAAGTCAGCAGCCCGGTGAAAGAACTTGAGGCAGTTCCGCTCCTCTCCCAAACAACAAATCATTATCCTACCATGTAACAGTATCTGTCATTTTCTCCGAACCTTCATCTTAATGTCAGCTCATTAACCCCCTGGGAAGTTAGATGCACTTTGTTATTATTGCAACCGTGGTGGATGCTGAGGCCAGAATATTCGCTGAGAGCGCCAGCCTCCCTGGTAGCTCAGAGCGAGGCCCACACCCACTGAGGGGGGTTCTCTCAGGACACATGGGGCAGGGCTGGGTCTTCTGGTCACAACCAGAACACACACACTCTCTCTCTCTCTCTCTCTCTCTCTCTCTCTCTCTCTCTCTCTCTCTCGTTCTACATGTTGGACGGGAGGATAACAAGCCTTGGATCTCACACATCTGAGACGGCTTTGCACGAAAGCGCCTGGCCTGGGACAGTGCCCGCTTCTAAGTAGTTTGCAAATTCTGTCTCAAGGAACCCCTGGGCCGTGAGCCATCGTCCACAAGGCTGCAAGGCCCCTGGCTCCAGCACCCTCTCGGGTCTGCTCGAGCCTGCGGCGGCCAGCAGCCGGGCACTGGGCTGGCCAGGGCGCAAGCTGTGGCATCTTTCACTCCGGGTTGAAGCCCGCCAGGCGGACCTGGGCAGTGGACATGTCAGCAGCTAGTCAATGGCAGAGAAAGTGCAGGAAAGGCAGTCTCTCGCTCCGACGACCCCACACTGCTTAGCTTTCAAAACGGCCTCGCCGAGACGAGCCTCCCAGAACTGAGCTTCCAAATTCTGCTTTTACCGAGCGCTCCTGCACGAGGTACGATCACGGCTAATTATGCAGCATCCTCGGGAGGCGGAAGTCAGCCTGGGAAGAGTTTGCCAGCAGAGAAAGGAGCACTTGGCCTCGCCGCAGACTGGGTCTGTGCCCTCCCAGCCCCCACGGCCTCTGGCCTTCCACCCAGGTCCAGATTTCTGGGGTCAGTGCCCAGCTGAGCGTGCCCTGGGAAGGAGCAAGTCGACGTGTCTGAGAAACGAAGCCTGCCACCCGCCAGCCCGCAGGCCAGACGTTCTCAACCGCCGCTGCCTCACAGTTCCTCAAGAGGAGCGCGTAGGACTCCCCCCACCCCCACCCGGTCTCTGTGCAACAAAGAATCCAAGGGAATGAAACATTGTTACTCATCTCGGAGGAAAGACTTTATGTTCAGGGTAGAGTTCTGAAAGTTAGCAAGAAGCGTCGCCAGTGGGAATGTCACCAAGGATGCTCTCACAGGAAGCGAGGGACCAGCTCTGTGCCGAGTGCCCGGAGCAGCGGCCCCAGCACGGGCGCCCCCCGCACGCGCCTGAGTCCCGGGCACACGACCCCGCCGCCCCAGGGAGGGCGCGCGGAGCTTGGGGTGCCCGGGACGCTCCGGGGAAGGCTGGGGCCCCCTCGCCCCGCGGTCTCCGAGGCAGCCCGGCCCTCGGCCCCGCTGCGCCCCGGACCCCTGCGCCTGGGGTCACCTCGGCACCCCCCTTCCTGGAGCGTGCCACTTTCTGGCGTTTCTAGAAAGCGGGGGCAGGTGTGACCCGCGGGGTCCGGGCATCAGGGGGAAAGCACGCGCGCGCGCGCACACGCACACACACACGCGCACACGCACACACGCGCACACACACGCGCGCACATCCGCGCGCCCCTGGCCGGCGGGGGCAGGGGGCGGAGAGGCGCCGAGGCCGAGCGCGCGGGGACCCGGGTCGGGGCGCGGCCGGGCTCACCTTGCAGGACCAGCGCGTCCAGGTCGCGGTCAATGCCCAGGAAGTAGCACTTCCTCCAGAGGCCGGCGTAGGTGGCGAAGAGCGGCCGCCCGCACGCCGCGTCCAGCCCGCCGAGCCCCAGCAGCGCGCGCCACGCCTCGGGGTCCCCCGGCGGGCGGCGGCGGCCCGGGGGCGGCGCGTCCCGCAGCGGCAGGTGCGACAGCGGCATCAGGCGGCTCCGCTGGTCGGGGGGCTCGCGGCCCGCGCGGCTGCGCTCGCAGCGCTCCTTGTGGCGCCGCGGGTCCGTCTCGTACCAGTGGTCGGTGCAGATGGCCGTGAGCAGCAGCGCCAGCGAGCAGAGGCCGAGGCCCAGGCTGAGCGCCGTGACCAGCGCCCGCGGCGCCATCCGCGCGCCCCGCGCCGCCAGACACAATGCGCTGGCCCCGCGCCCCCCAACGGCTGCGCGCGCCCGGGCCCCGCGCCCGCGCCCGCACGCCCGCGGACCCCGCGCCCGCCGCCCGCGGACCCCCGCGGCCCCGCGCCCCGCCCGCCCGCGCCTCCCGCCGGCCGGCGCGCGCCTGCGGACCCCGCGCGCCCCGCGCCCGCCCGACTCGCCCCGACTTTTCGGCAACTGCCCTCCCCCGCGCCCCCTACCCCTCGCAGCGCCCGGCCCGGCCCTTTATATCCCCGCCTGGCGGCTCCTCCTCCCCCCGCCACCTCCCGCGCGCGCCTCCCTCCTCTCCACCCCCTCCCGCACCGACCCCCCCCCCAGGCGCCAGCAGCACCCCCGCAGTCTCCGCGCTGTCGCTTGGCCAAGTGGGTTCCTGGGATCCGCGCGCAGCGGGGTCGGCGGCCTCGGGGGTCTGGAGCGCCTTCGGGGGCGGGCCTGGCAAAGCCCTCGTGCCCTTCTCCTGCCTCCCTGCGCCTTGGTCCCAGCCCGACTCGGCCCCGGGCCTGGCACACTTCTCTCCGCGCCTCCCAGGACCCGCTCCTGGAATTCCCAAGCCCTGCTTGGCACCTGCGTCCAGGTTCCGCGGACTCTGTCCAGGGAAAGGCTTCCTGCTTCCCCGCCCGCAAGGGAGTCTTGCCGGACCAGGGAAGGTCCGCGACCCGACCGGCCACACCACCTGGTGCCCATTCCCAGGACAAGCCCCACCGGCTTTTCTCTAGTGAGGAAAAGCAGGAGGCGGGAGCGAAGGGGTCTGAGTCCCCTCCAGTGCCCTTGGGACCAGGGCAGCGAGAATTCCAGGCGGCCCCAGTCCTCCCTTCTGCTATGAAACATTAATGCCCGGGAGATTCGGAGGCATTCATTAATGCTAAATGTCATCACTCCGCATATAATAGCACTTATTAATTAGAGCCCGCATCAGCGGGCGGATGTGTGATTGATAGATTTCCTCTGGAACGGGACATCTGTGAAGTCAGCCCCAAGATGGGGCTGGCCTGGATTTCCTCACCGTGGGGCCGGGTGGCCTGCGGATGTTTCCCGCTGAAGCTGGTGTCTGCCCCGCTAGCCACTGGGGCTGGTCGTTGGGTCATCTCGGACCCTGCGCCCTTTTCTGCTGACCTGACAGGTGTGAATTATGGTTTGGATTTTCTCCCGGCTTCAGCAAGATCTGCCGGTGAGCTCTGTTCTAATTAAGGAAGACAAAGAAGGATCATTTTCGTGTGCCTCGCACCTAGCAGCTTTCCCTTAAAGAAGCAACACTAGGCTCATCAAAGGGATCTTATCTGGATTTAGACAAAAATGATGAGACTTACCAGCTTTCCTCTATTCGTACTCCGTAGTACGTGTCAAATCCCCGCTCTGGTGATTCACAGAGAACCAAGTCAGCCATTGGCAGCTGAAACTCACTGCAGTGGTCCTGTGTGCTTTCATTTCCCGAAATGCCTCCAGAGAAAACGTTATTACAAAGCTTGAGGTTCCCCGGGGCAGTTAGACCTTTAGCGGTCCTCAGCCGACACCCCCCTTTTTGATTTTGAAAAGCACCAAGAAACAGAGTCCCCTGGCTGTCTTCACACATTCCCGCTGTCTCCAGCTGCAGCCGGCAGAAAACAGCCTCTTGTTCAGGCACTTGGGCCGGACCCCAAAGCACCTCCCTGCCCTGCCTCGTTTTCCTCCCCAGAACCTTTGATCGTCCCCTGCTCGGAGAGCAGCGTCATCCTCAAGGTTCATTTCTGGCTATGTTTAAGAACAGTCTCCACACATAATGCAAAGGTTACCCGGTGATGGATTACCCTTGACAGTGTTTCATAAAAAGCTGTCACACGTTACAAATACGGGCCGGCAGCCTGTAATGAGCGCGCTGCCTCTGCTGGGCCCGCGTGCAGGACATCAGCGGGGCGGTGACAGCTGATGTGTGCCCCGGCGTGGCTGCCCACCACCCTGGCCCTGTTCCTGAAACTCCCCTGCGGGAGATTTCCAACAGTGAAATATCCCCCGCTCTTGGGGGATGGGGAGTGCGGAGAGGAAGAAATGGTCCCCTTGTTTGGGGCAGAATACCAGGCAGGAGGCTCGTGCAACCGGGGAGGGCCGGGCAGGGGCTGTGGGTGGGTGAGTGGGAACCAGGAGACTCGCTCAGGCCGAGGGCCGCAGTGGGGCTGCGGGAGCCATTTACATCTCAAGGGATGCATCCTAGAGCTGACATGTTTTTATGACAGCAAGCAGGACCCGGAGGAGGAAGAGGCAGAAGCGAAAACAAGGGTCCGGGCCCCGGTGAAGGCGCTGCCCAGCGAGATGCAGTGAGCCGAACTCCCAACTTCGCAGGTGCTGCCCTGGCCTCCTCGAGTCCCCTGCCATCTCCGGCCCTCCTTCCCTGCACTGAACTCAGAGAGCCAGCTCGTAAGACCACGGGGAGGGAGCCACAGAGGGTCTCCTGGCGCGTCTCTGTGCTGGGCATCGACTTGTCCAAAACATCACCAGGGTCCAGCTGCCTTGCCCCACCACCCCCTCAGTTCTTCTCTCTGACGAGGATCTGTCGCATTCACAAAGTGGCAGGGGGTGTCCCTGGAAATGTCTCTCATGGTCCGTGGTTCCTCTGAGTTTCTCCCGCCTGTCTGTCCCAAAGCTGGGTTGTTATTGGGCTCCCTCCGTGGTGCCCCAGGCCAGGCCTCTCAAAGGGTGCTTGAGGGTTGCCAAGTGCATCTCCCTCGAACAGACGTGATCTGTCACCCTGCAGTGGCATCGTCCCTTCCTAAGTTGGCATCAGCACGGTACTGCTGCTCAAGTTCTTTGTTCTGGCCAGTCCCCGGTAGCCTTCAGGCTTTGCGGCTGATGGGCTGGCCATGTTTAAATATTCAGCATGCAAGAGACTTCGGCCTTCTCCAAACACTTATCCTAATATCTAGGTGCTTTATGGCATTCATCACGTTGCTCTCTACAGTCAGGAGTTCTTTAAAAAAATATTTCCTTACAAAAAGGTGCACACACAAGGCAATCTCCAATTATCACAGAGCTTTGGCAATGATTTATCGACATCTCTGCTGAGCTGACCATGAATATTGTAAAATGCTTTCACCCCTTCACCTCGTTGCTGAGACTAAAAGCCGCATCTTTCTTCATTTCCAGCATTGGGATTCCATAGAATTTGGCCAACGCTGCTGAGCCAAAATTGTGCACTGGCTGCTTGAGAGGCGTCCGCCTTCTCGGGTGTGATCAGAGTATGTTTTCCAGCATTTGAGGGGAGAACACAGCCCGCTTGTATTGCTGATCTGGGGCATGCCGTTTCTACAAACAGCTGAGTTCCAAGTGCTGCGTTCAGTAAGAGAGGGGCAGGCTTATGTTCGCTCCGAAATGTTCTTCTAGAACAATTTTACTTGACATCTATCGAGCACCCCAAGATACTGATTCTGTTGGATGCCACAGGATTGGGGGGGGGTGCGAAATTAAGTGAACAGGCCTGCACTTCCCCACTACGCTCCCCAGGAGCCCTGGGCAGTAGGGAAAGGCCAGAGGCTCCACAGAGGAAGTGGCTTGAGCCCCCGGGGGCACAAAGCTTAGGGGGGGCAGATCAGCCGGGGACGATCAGCCATGGCCTGTGTGCGTGCGTGTGCGTGTCTGTGTGTGTCCATGTGCCTGTGTGTGTCCATGTATGCATGTGTGTGCGTGGTGTGTGCACGTGTGTGTCCATGTGCGTGTGCGTGCGTGTGTCTGTGTGTCTGTGTTGTGTACGTGCGTGCGTGTGTGCGTGTGTGTGTCCAGTGCATGTGTGTGTGTCCGTGTGCATGATCTGTGTGAGGGTGGCATGGGGGGCGGGGCACCTTTCCTGGAGGTTCGTGGCCCGAGCCCACGCGGCACCCGGCATGGCAGCCCTACTTCGGGCGTTACCACATGCGAGGCGGCTCTGGGCTGGTGTTGTCAGAAACTAGAAGTCTGGAACCAAGAACTACCACATGCGCCCGGAAATAGCTGGTGCCTGCTAGGCTTCGCGTTTCGCGGTGCGGAATGTCACCCTTCTTTTTCACATTCCTGGATTAAGCTGTTTCCTTTTTGGAGTGTTTCAGCGCATATGGTGAAAAAGAAGAAGAAGAAGAAGAAACCCCACATTCCCAGGCGACTGCGCCACTCAGCCCCACTTGGAGGCTGCATCCGCAGATGGGCCTCACCTGCGTGGGGGTACAGGCCCCTTTCCATCAGGGTCATGCTCAGCTCATGCTGGTCAGTGGGGCAGAGTCGGGGTGCAAAGACCTGCTCGGAAAGTCGGGTTCACAGCAGCCTGGACACACCCATGTGAGATGCCAGCCGCCCCCTGGGCCTTTCCCCTCATGCCTCCCACGCAGCTGCTCCTGGAACGGGGCCTGGGCCACCCCTGGGTGCCAGGCCTGGCCCCACTTCTTCCCAGCCCCCTTATGCTGCGCCTCAGAGCTCTGAGCCACCTCACTTCTGAAAAGCATCGCCCGCCCTCAGGCTGGATGACTCCTGCACTCCACACGCTAGCTGGGCCCCCCACGACACACACAGAGGTGCAGACACCCTTGGCTGATTCCGGGGGCCCCTAAGCCCGGCACTGCTCGCCCTTCGAGGGGCAGGCCCAGCACACTGCCCCTTGGCCGCTGGCCGCCTGACCACGGCCTGCCCGTCCTGTGGCCCCTCCCTCTGTCCCCCTGCTCACGGCCCTGGCCTCGGGCTCTGGGTCTGCACAGAGGACGTGGGAGGCCAGCAGAGACTTGCTGCCCCTGCTCCGAGCCTGGCCACGGTTCCCAATGCACCTGCCTGCCCACCCAGTTCTTCTGCAGCTGTTCCTGGGCCATTTCCAGGCCTCTCGCCAAGGTCCAGCCGGAGGGCAGCCCGCGACCCTCGGTCCCAGTCTCGCAGGACACTGTCCATCCCTGCTTCCTGTCCTTGGGCGTCCGGCCAGGCCTGGGAACGCTGGTCACCCACCGCCGTCTTTCCACTCTCTGGACCCGCTTCCAGTCCAGAAACACCCCAGCACCAGGCAGAGAGTGCCTTGTTGGGGCCCCCAGACACCCCTCTGCCAACTCCAGTGCTCGGTTGGCCCCG